TCTTTGTATCATAATCTGCTGATTATAATCCATAAAAAATTTCTAAATGTTTTGGTTTAGATGTCTTGACTGCATTTTATTATCATAAACCTCTCCCTCTCTCTCTTCCCCTCCAGCTAAGAAATGTCCCGCTCTCAGTTGTCCCTCCCATGGCTCCTTAGTCTGCTCTGATCCTCATCAAGAGTTCAGTTTTGGTTCTCGATGCACATCCACCTGTGAGGAGGGTTTCCTCCTGAATGGGACGGCTGACACTGAGTGCACCTCTCTTGGCACATGGAGCAAAGACATCCCACGTTGCTTGGGTAAAAACAATCCATCTATCTGTTGATCATAATCCACAGAGGAACTCTTCTTTCATGGTTTAGATGCAATGACTCTTGTCTTCTCTTTAAATAGCTTTGCTCCTTTATGTCTCTGTTTCTCTTCCAGCTAAGAGATGCCCCACTCTGAACTCCACCTCTCATGGCTCCTTAGTCTGCTCCGCTCCTCATGGGGAGTTCAGTTTTGGTTCTCAGTGCTCGGCTACCTGTGAGGAGGGTTTTCTACTGAATGGGACGGCTGACACTGAGTGCACCTCTTTGGGCATATGGAGCAGAAAAATGCCCCACTGTCTCGGTAATAAATCAAAATTTCAGAGAGCTACACTTGACATGTATTCACTTCTGCTAGGTGCACATTACCATACACTCATGACTTGGAATGTGGGGTTACAGATGTCACTGTGTTGATTTATATCACAACACACCAGCTGTGTTTTTATTTGTCATGTCTAAAATCAGTGGTAAGTGTGTTAAAGGGAGATGAGGATTGCTTGGTCTGAAACTGGTGGTCATATTTTTTGTTATCCACAGCTCAGCCATGCCCCCTGCTGGCCAAGACTCCACAACATGGTAGGATGAACTGCAGCCACCCATACTCCTCTTTTAGCTTCGGCTCCCACTGTGACTTTGACTGCAATGAGGGCTTCTGGCTTAGAGGAACACCAACTATGACATGCAACACCTCAGGCCACTGGAGTCAAGATCTGCCCACCTGCCAGCGTGAGAGCTCACAATACCTTAAACTTACTTGCTGATCTGGTACTCAAACAGCTGATCCAATGTCATTAATTTCAATTTCTGTCTTTTTCACACCTCAGCGGTGGAGTGTGAGGCCATTAGTGCCTTGTCTTCATCCCTGTCTATGAACTGCTCCCATCCTCTGGGGAATTTCAGCTTTGGCTCCCAGTGTCTTTTCACTTGTGGAGGAGGATCCTCCCTGAATGGCACAGAGGTGCTGTCTTGCTCCTCCACTGGGTTTTGGAACGACAGCCTGCCTATCTGCATAGGTAAATTGGTTTTTCAGCATACTAACATGCTCACAATGACAATGCTATCTTAGGCAGGTATAATATTTGATATCTAATCAGCGCAAACTAGAGCTGAAGTATTGGACATATTGAAATTTTGACATGACAGCTCTAGAGAGAAAGTTAAATGATCACCAACGTGATTAGATTCCATCCTGAGGGGGACATAAATGTGTGTAGTAAATTTCTAAGCAATCCATCTTATAGTTGTAAAGACATTTTACCAAAAAAAATCCCCACAAATATCAACCTCTTGGTGGCACTACGGGTCACCAAAGTCATTAGGATACATCACGTGGGAACCATGAATGTCAGTACCAAAGCTTGTGCCAATTCATGTGCATGTTAAATTTTCAAAAACGTTCACCTGCTGCTTGTGCTACAGGGGAAGTCAGGAGATTACCAAGATCATTAGGGAGATCATGCTCTGGGAACCGAGAATCTATGTACAAACTTTCATAGTAATCCATCCAATAGCTGTTGAGATATTAAAGTGCGGACCAAAGTGGTAGACTGGATCGAGAAATGTGCAGTTAGGATAAAACAACAAATTAAAAACAACTTGTATTGAGTGTGATTTTTATGTGTTCCTGTAGGAGATATGCCAGAGGGGACTGCCATGCTGCTGTCGACGAGTGCAGGAGCAACCTACATTCTCTTGCCACTTGTCCTGATTGGACTGGCTTTGTTCGCTTTAATGCGATTAAAGAAAAAAAGTAAGACTTACTTTAATGCTGCTGTACAGTTTGATACATACAAATACAGCATGTTGTGGCACTCACAGCACATCTTTAATCCTTATTTCTGATTTTTGCAGAAAAGAATGTCATGTATGTGCCAGCATGGGGGGAGCATGAGAATCCAGCATTTGAATCTGAGGCCTGAGTTTTGCAGCAAATCATTTCATATACTGAAGCCCAATGCTTGCTGTAATTATACAAAGCTTGGTAGTAATTGGTGCCAGAAGATTACAGTGGAATAAGAGCTTTATGTTAAGAGTGATTTCAGTTTCCTCAGACAATCTTTAAAATGTAGATAATAATGCATATTTTGTATGCAAACCTTGAATTATTTTGTTAAAAACACAAAGTTGGATCCAGCTTGTGCTTGCTCTTGTATATTGCTTGATTGTCAATAAACTATCAATGGTTGTTGAATGGTCCCTTTTATTTTATTTTATTATTTTATTTAATTATTATTCATTTTTATTATTTATTTTTTTAATTTTTATTTTATTTTATTTATTTTATTTCATCATGTGATTCACCCAGTATCATGTATAAATTATGTGATCAGGTGGGCATTCTTTGTCAATGTCCAGTGTCATTTGGTCAAGCATTAGGTGACCCTGTCTTGCTGGTGCCCTCCCTAGAAGCTCAGTTTATCCACATTTGACCTCCCCCATAGGAACCAATACTGTGGGGTCAAGTGGGGAAGTGGCAGAAACCCTCTGAGATTACCAAACTGCCACAAAGTGTCAGTTTAGCACATTTAGTGGCCAGGAAACTCCTGTCACTGATTGGGGAGGAGGTGATCTATTATCAGCCTCAGCTCAATGTGTGTCACTGGGCACTGATCCCACACTAAGGGGCAATTCACCACCCCCACAGTAACTCACACAGTTTTGGAATATGTTTCATATTAGGGCTGATGTATAAATTACACTACTGATTTAGGTGAAAATCTATTGTCTGAATTAAGTATGGAGTTCCTATTGTGTGACTACTGTATAGAATCTTCGCTGTGTGTCTGTGCCAATAGTATACCCCCAGACTTGTGGTGGAAATGGCCAATGGAGCATCTTCAGCAAAGCGTGTGCATCTGTCTTGGCGCTGCAACAGCATGAAGCCAATTATAGCGGTTAAAAGACAGAGGGTTTGTGGCCTGTGGTTGGCATGAAGGGTGCAATAAATAACCACACTGTCGACAGGAAACTGTTTGGCTACCGTCAGAATAATAATGAGGTTATTGCTACCTGCTGTGACCGTATGATCACGGTTTGATTATTTTTCTCATCCCACCCACGGCTGCTGGCAACTGTATATGCGTGCCAACTGCGCACAGGCTCGCGCACAAGAAGGGAAAAAGCCCTGCAGGTGACCACCTTGGCTTCCTTCCCTGATATTTAAGTCTGGCTTCTCTCCCTTCATCTACCTCTGAAGATACAAGGAAGTACATTATGATACTTTAGTCCCCGACAACAAAGAGTGTTGTTCCTCCTAACACATGAGCATGCACACATGCGCATGCCAGCAGACACTTAGAGCAGATACAGACACAGATACAAAGGCAGACTCAAAGAAACACACACTCAGTATACTCTGCTGCACACTTCTTTAGCTCTGGTTGGCAGTAGCATACCACGGTGACAGACAGTTAGATTGTTCCTGACCATTGACTTGCGCTCTCTGCTCTGCAAGGTCTGATTTCATAGTGGGGAATATGAGATGGGTCCAGGAGAGGGTTCACGGCTGGGGCAAGGAGGCACTCCATACAGTGGGGCTTCATATCTCTGTGTCACCCTGGGCATTCTCCCCTGACACAGCTTTCAGCCCCTCTGTTGTCTGGAGCCCCCACCCTGGGTTTTCTCAACCTCCCTCCCCAGGATTGGTGCATTCCAGCTGGGCACAGTGCCTGGGTGGTCCCCCCCCCCTCCTGTCCTCTATACTGGAGGAAGGAAAAGGCAGAAAAATGCAGCGAGGGCCTTTGACCGTGAGGAGCACAATGTGAGCGTTGATGATGGCGGCGTGGATGTGATGCTTACCTGCCACTGACCCATACAGCTGTCATAGCCCACCGTTTCACAATCTGATGATCCACCCAACAGCCAGGGGAAGATGCCTCGCTGACCTGTCACCTAGATTGGACTGATAAGCACCGAGGATGGACTGACCCAGCTCTAACCCTCAGCATGAATACCCCATCTTCATAATAGATCAGCCTGTGCCTCATACTCACTACGCCACACATTTTATACTGAATATTCACTGTATCATAACCATTATTTATTAATCATTGCTGATTCATTCAAGATGAACGGCATACACACATTGTGAGAATAAATACAAATACACACCCAAACAGCTATTTACATTAGTAGATGCAGTTATGATCTCATGATCTAACATTCAAACATAGTGGGAGAGGTCCGACGGTATCGTGCATACACAGGAGCCTGTGTGTCGTACATTGGGATTGTAAAGCATAAGAGGCAGTAGTGTAATCATCTTTATATGCACATGCACATAGTATATTGCATGGTATCACAGTGTACCCACGTCCCCTTGGCGTTGACCGCTTCCTCAATCTTGTGCATGATACAGACCAACCCAATCGCCAGAAGGAAATGTTGGAATTGTACATTTTGGCAAACCAAGGATATGTTACATTTGTATGACATAGTTAATAGATTCCATGTATATGAGCTGAGTTTCTCATTGGGAGGAGGAGAGGATGATGGCGTCACATCAAGGCAAGACAGCTCCCAAGCAGCAGTTCGGGCCTTTTATAGCCATGTTTGTAATTGCAAAAGCGGGTATTTTTTAATGAGTTCGAGACATTTATAGCCGCATTTGTGGTGACAAAAGTGGGAATTTTTTTACGAGAGTTCGGGACATATCTAGTCATTTTGTAATGGCAAAAGCAGGTATGCTTTAAAGAGTTTGGGACATTTATAGCTGTGTTTGTAGCGACAAAAGTGGGTATTTTTTTTAACGAGTTTGGCACATTTATAGCCGCGTTTGTGGTGACAAAAGCAGATATTTTTTTATGAGAGTTTGGGACATGTCAAGTCATGTTTGTAGCAACAAAAACGGGTATTTTTTAATGAGTTTGCGACATTTATAGCCGTGATTGTGGTGACAAAAGTGGGTATATTTTCACGAGAGTCCGGGACATGTCCAGCCATGTTTGAAGCAACCAAATGGGGTGTGATTAACCCAAAATATGATGATTTTCTAACCCTAGCCAAGTGGGTTTTGTGCCTAAACCGAACCACACATTAACCACAGCCTTGTCACAACATGGAATTAAAAATGGAAACGTAAAGAAATGCAAAGTTTGAACTTATCTGCTACATATGAAACGTAAAAATCTAACATATCCGTGGTTTGCAGAAACATACAACACCAACATTTATTTTGGACATTGTGTTGCACAGACAGAGTGAGGGAGACACACCACTTTTCACTGAGTCCCACCTCCAACCTCAGGAGGTGAAGTAAGAGTCCTGCATGGAGTAGAGGCGGTCGATAGGGGTGAGCAGAGAGGAGTCACCCAGAGACAGGCAGTCGCTGTCAGCCACATGACACAGAGGGTCTCTGTCCATCTCCCCGTACAGACCCTTAAAACCTGAAAAAGACACAACATCATTGATCACCTTTTTAAAGCTATGCTAATTTTAGTCATAAGGAGACGAGGAGTTCTACTTGGTCTTTGTTGTATTAAGTCTTCTGTGATTTGGAGGGAGCTTTCTAAAGTGTGAAGACACGACCCTAGTGATGTCATCAGGGTGGAGTTGCATTATGGAAAATGTAGGATGTAAAGACTGAAAATTAGGATATCTCAGCCTCTGCTGTACCAGTCTGACCACCTCTGACCTTTGACCCAACTTTATCCCAACAGTCACAAACAGACTGATGACATGTAAGTACATTGTAAGGATGTTTGCTGACCTCTGATCTCTTGTCAATATTAGCTGCATTTTAAACACATTAAAGACAACACACAAGGAGAAAGAGCAGTAGCCCAGGAAACAGTGCTACAATATCAAAGATCAACGGGATCCAACATATGAAAAAACAACAACTATCAGGCGTTTTAAAATAATAAACTCCTGACTTAAGTTATGATGTCATATTGCCAAAAATAATGGCAACCCCACCCATTAGTGAACCTTTGTAGAACAACACTCTAAACATGTAACTCTCCATCACGGTTTGACAGCCCTGAGGTCTTTACCGTAGGGGTGCATGTGATCCCCTGGCATCTGAGGTGGGGTCAGGCCCTGTCTGAAGGGGTCCATGTCATAGTCCTGCTGCTCCAGTGTGGTGAGTCCCATCTGCTGCTGCTGCTGCTGAATGTGGGTGTACGAGGACCCCAGGTGCTCCAACTCAGAGGTCAAACCGCCACAGGAGGGTGCTGTGGGGCACAGGAGACACACAGGAGACTGTGTTTACTGCTATATGTTACAGTGAGCTTTTGTGCCCTGTGCTATCGTCATGTTGCTGTATCTACTTTGCCCTTTTAGAGCTCTATTAACTGACTTCTGTGGCTTTCAAAAGTTGCACGTTTCAAGATCTCCATCAGAAATCTACAATTCAGTCTAATCTGACTCTCCTGCTTGTAATATGATTATTTAATTTTGTCTCCTGAAATATACCTTTAAAACTCATTGTAGGTCTACTAAATATTGAAAAATATAGCAGGATTTTCCCATTGCTAACTTGATCTTTAGGATATTATATCACATGAAAGGAGTAAAGAACATTTTCCAACACCTGTGTGATGTGATGAATGCTCGCGCTGCTCCTGAGTCTGCTGCTGCTCCTGCTGCTGCTGCTGTCTCCTGGCCAGTTTCTTCATCTTAAAACACACACACCAACAGACATTAATCTCACCCACAGGCCTAATGTAAACCATTTTTTTCTCACTCCAACACAGTCCCTCTCTGCCACCCAGGCGTACGAGTGTGTTCACTCAATTGCAAAGTATTAACAGTGAGGTAAAGGACATCTGTCAGTGGAGGAGGGAAACCACACATGTGCCCACTTTGTGAGGAAATATGGGATTTAATCTACAGTGATCTTGCAGTGAGATGTCATCAGTTTCCTGTATGAAGAGATAACCAGGCTGATTTCCACTCTGGCATACAAACACGGTGCAGAAAGAGTTCTTTTATTAGTAGCGCATATGACTCTGTGTGTGTGTGTGTGTGTGTGTGCACTGTGTATTACTTTGGCTCTTTGGTTCTGGAACCAGACCTGCACAACCCGGACGCTCAGACCAGTCTCTGCTGCCAAGGTCTCCCTTACCTTGGATTAAGATTCAGGGGAAGGAGAGAGACAGAAAGGGAGGGCAAAAATTGGAAAATAGAAAAAGAGAAGAGGTCACTTGAAGGTTAAAACAAAACTGTATCGCTTCACCAAGTTGCCTCAAACAAAGAGGAAGGAATAAAGTATTTATGACATTTATTTTTTGGGGGAAAATTACAGCTTTGTTCATGTCTGTACTTTTGTATTCTTTAAGGTCAAACCTGTGTTTGGTCAAACCTAATAATGAAGTCATGGCTACAACCAACCAAATCACCAGGAAAAAATGTTGGCATTGATTTCGGCACAAAAACAACTTGGCTATGGTTAGAAAAAGATCATGTTTTGGCTTTAAAAAGACAGTTTTGGGGGCAAAATCCTGACAGGAAACGCATCATTGTCTTGGTAAAAAACAACCTTCTTTTGTGAAATTATCACAGCACTATACCTGGTGGAAAAACTGCTACAGCTTGCTAAAAAATACCCACATTTGGTACCTCAAAATCTGCTTTTAAAGCAACGATTGGTTGCCAAAATGCATGATTTTGCCGTTTGTTGGTCTTTTCTGCAGCTTGGCAGGGATCTTGCTTAACTGACACACCGTCCATCGTCTCCTCCTTCCTCAGATGAAAAACTCAGCTTATATATTCTGTTACTGTAGAATAATTAATTTGATACATACAAAACATGCAAATGTAATGTGTAGGCTATGTGGTTTGCAGAAACGTGCAAAGCCAATATTTTCTTCTGGTGCCTGGACTGCTGTAGCATATCTACCCATCTGCCCAGCAGCAGTACAGTACTACTATACTATTACACCACAGTAGATGGTTGAAATCTTGCTACACCTCTGGCTAACTGCTATATTTTTTACACTGAAGAGTTATGTCTTACTGTAAAGCATGATATGATTCAGTGGTTTTATGCCCACATTTCATAAAATTGGAGGATCTCACTCTAAAAAAGTATTGCATGCTCATTTTTAAGACTGGTCTATGTCATATCCTCATTCAAAACTGGTAAAGTTCTCAGTCTTCAGTAGAAATTACAGTAAGTTGTTGACAGAAAATAACAACATACATAGTGCAACAAAGCCTGTGTAATATCAGGGGACAAAAGCTGTGGATTAAGGCAAGGACTTCTACATACTCATCCACTCTACCTCCTTGGTGAACACAGAACTAACACTTTACCTTTCGACAAGGCTTGGATGAGACCTCAAAGGAAGCTTTAAAGGTCCGTCTCTGTTGAGTGGTCAGAATAGTGCGCGGCCTTTTAGGACGTTTGCTCTCCAGATCTTCCGATCTAACTCGTCTGCCTGTAACCCTCCCAGATTCCTCTTCTTCCTCCTCTTCTTCATCATCACTTTTACCTAACGGGCAGACATAATTGAAAAGTCATTAGACAGATGAAAAAGTAAAGGGAAAATTCAAGCTAAGAGAAGTGCATCATCTGCATTTAGTTATATGCAGATTAGGAATTGTAGTTACATTTGTTAATTTTCTTGACAACAGTGACATGTAAAAGGTACACTAGAACATAACAGTTTGCAACCATACTTATTTTAGTTTGGGTAAATAACCCAACAGTTAGATATATAAATATACTGACACTGGGTCAAAACAACTTATTCTTATGTCTTTTCTAACCCACTTATGTGTAACCAGTGGACTCTAGTGATGTCTGCGTTATGTTGATATGAAGAGGCCCACACTGTGGATATCTTTGGAGGTGATCTCCAGTAATTCCTGACAACTTTGACAGCAAGAGGTAAAAACAGTCCTCCGTCAATTCCGACCATATGACTTGAGCTCATCTCCCATTGAGTACAACATAAAAAGGGAAGAGGTAAGGCAGAAGACACCTCTTTATAGGTGGGGCACCCCCAAAGGTGAATGTAGGGGTACAGAAACTGAGTATCAAATGGAGGCCTAAGCGTGTCAGGTAACAACAACTAAAACAAATTATGTGTAACTATAATAGTTAATATTACAACTGTACATTTGACTTTGTTACACATATTACTGCTGTATAACTGACCCTGTTACAAATGCATTGGGTCAGTTTTGACCATGTGAGTAGTATGTATGTATACACACACACACACACACCACACATACACACACTGTACACACATCCTGTACCTGTGTCGGAGGAGGTCGGACTGGCCACACACTGGTGGTAGTCGTCTCTGGCACACAGTAGCTGTCCCTCCCTGAGGACACAGTGGTCTCCAGTCTGCAGGCGGCAGGAACAAACGCTGCAGGTGAAGCAGCGCAGGTGGAACACAGCGGCCCCTGCACGCATCACCAGTTCTGTGGGAGAGATGGCCTCTGCACAACCCCCACAACGCACTGCAAACAGACTGGAGAAAAGGAACAGGCGGGTGGAGGTGAAACAGAAGGGAGGAAATTGTGAGAACTTAGTACATAACAGAGAGTGGTGCTTTTGTTTGGCTGCCTGGAGCTTGAGTATAAGCTGAGACACTTGAGGACCCCTCACACCTCAGTAAGAAGAGACTCTGTGAGAAAAAAAAAGCTTGGTTGACTTGGGGAATGTTGCTGAGTCGAGCTGTCACTCAAAAGAACTGCCAACCTGACTTGTCCCCTTGCCTCCTCCTCCTCCTGCCCCGACCACTCAGACACATACCCTTAGCTTGGCGGGTGTGCATCTTAGCGCCTGGCAACCAGGACTGGTGGGCTTAGCCTCAGAGACTGTTGCCGTGGCTCCGGCTGCCTTGTCCGAGGCTGTGCTCCTGGGGAGGCAGGAGAAAAGCTCTCGGCAGGCCATGGCTCCAGGCAGAGGGGGGGAATCAGATGTCCTGGTGGGAGAGGCTGAGCCGCCGGTCCCATGAATTATCCGCGGAATTATCCCTAAGTCTGCTTAACCAGAGCGGGACAAAGACAGAGCCAGCCCCCAAGCAGCAGGACCATTGTCCGCTGGCTGGCACCGCGGCATTTTGGGTCTGTCACGCAGGATGATGCGTCATCATTCTGGAGCTGGCGTTTGTCTCCAGACCTGACTGGGTCACCAGACCAGTCAGCCCAGAGGCATGAGAAAGTGACAGCTTTTTTTTCTCCATGTTTTTGTTTTCACATGAAAATACTTCACACAGTCCATAAGGACAGTCGACATATATCACTGATTCAAGCTGAGCATCGTATTTTCTTTTTACTACGTTTTAGCCATTACAAATTAGTAGTGGCATTAGAGGTTAGTCTAAAAAAAAATGGAACTCAATGTCAGTGCAACTACTCATGAGCAAATGTGCACAAAAATACCCTAAATAACAGAATAATAATTGGCTTTTAAGGGCCGTAATCACCTATATAACATTGAGGGGGCGCATCCTCTGTGACCCAACCCTCAAGGGGGTTCTGGGGAAATTCCCAGGAGAAACTGTGTAGAGACTTGCAGCTAAACGGACCATTTTAGAGCATTTCTCAAAGTTTTGATGACTCAGTGCCATTTCAAGGAGCATTACACGGTCAGGCTCCGTCCTTTGTAGCTGAACTACTTCACCCATATTCTTCAGCTCGCTCTCTTCGATCAAATGCGTTAAATTTGTTGTCTGTCCCGCGCACTCGCCTTAAGACACGTGGTGATCATGCTTTTGCAGCCGTAGCACCTACATTTTGGAATGCTCTGCCTGCTCCCCTCCAGTCTGTTGACTCAGTGGTTTCTTTTAAAAGGCAGCTATAAAGACACAGCTGTTTAGACAGGCGTGTGGGTAACTTACGGTTACATACGCACCAGAGCTGTGTTATTACAAATTTTCTGTTTTGTGGTTTCTTGTTGTGCGTGTGCAAATAGTTTTGCAAGTTGTGCACTTTTCATTATGTGGCTCACATAGTCACTTTGTCTCTGTGGTTTCTTTCTTGTTGTGTATTGCTCTTGTGAAGCACTTTGTGACGTATGTCTGCGAAAAGCGCTATATAAATAAATTTTACTTACTTTCTTTCGTACTTTTTACTTTTTAAGACTTTTTATGATATAATAATACTTTACAAAGGCTAGAACAGTCCACAGTGATATAGCCTGCATAACACTCATTCTTTTCTTTCTAGTTTTCCACTTTTTAACATTTAAAAGTAATGACATAGAGAGAGGCACAAACCATATGGTAATGATCATGATTAATCATATGATTATGATTACATTTGCTGAGGATTATTTCAGACTGTAGTGCGTGGTTGCCTGTTGTGACATAATTTTTTTTTTCTTTACATTTTCATCAACATATTGTGGGGATTGGTGGGAGGATTTTAAGCATATTTGAACTGCAGATATGATGAACCACAGCCATGTGTGTTTCATTTGAAAATCTCTATGCTGAACTTTATTTTTACAGTCATTTTAGTCAATAACTAAATTGTTCATTTATGTATTTCATCTCAAACAGATGTCATTAATTTTTTTTTTTAATTATGCTGTGTCATGGGACCACCCAGGCAAATAAATTACACACCACAAACATTTCTTTTTGTGGTGTGGCACTTTTATGCCTAAAGCAGTCTTGACGTAAAGGAAAACAGGCACAAATATTAACTGTAAGTGTTCTCCATAAATCAACTCCTACTAAAGATTTCACATGAACTTTCAAGTGACACAGATTTGTTTTTCACTTCCTTTTGAACAAGGGCGAAGGTTTTGTTCAACATTTGGGGGGACACATATGAAACAGAGGGTTTAGGGGTCCTCCGCAAGAAAATTTTGAGTATTAAACAATTAATTTTCTGCATTCTGGTGAAGTCTTATGCACTGATTTGTGCCTCTTCTGCACCAAGTTACGGAGTAAATGTCTTGTATTTTGTCATGATTAAAGTTCTATTCTAGAGACGTGGGACGTGTTAAGTATTTCGGGGAAAGTGTCGCCCCTGAAATCTATCCCTATGGTTTTGGATAATATGTAAAGTAGAAATTAAGCACAATATCTACAAACACATGAACCCTCAGACTAAACATAAAGCAAACACGCAGGTTGAGACATCCCTGTCAAAAGGTCTGGAGCTGCAACATCCTGAAGACAAACATTGCTGGGACCTCTCATTGTTGCTGTGGGGTCGCTAGGGAAACGGTAAAGCCCATTCCCAGCAGCTCAGGAGGGTCAATCGGGCTGCTTGACCCGTCCAAGTCGTCTGCCGCGCGGCCTCAATGGTATGCGCTTTAATATGGCCAACATACCGTCTATGGTATGTGCATTCCTGTGGCAACACAAGATGCATCAACAAACGTTTTCAAAGGAAGTGTGGCAGAGGAAATACCCGGAATGTTTCTGGGTTTCTGTGATACGGCAAAGCACTTGATTTAATGTGTCAGTTTGATGCTAATGCTTGATGTCAGTGAGGAAGAAACTACAGGCATTAATGTTGTGAGATCATTCATGTTTCGAGAATCGCTTTTCCATTATGCGCTTTGTCCAGTTCGTCTCATCGTACCCAGTATTCTTACAGTAAGCGTTGTTAATGCAAAGGTAAGAGTACCTCCAATACTTATGGAGCAGCTTGAGGTGTTTAATATTTCAGAGTTTCCGTTGACATGATTGGCCCAGAGGCCCTGCCAGGAGAGCGGGAACACTCAGTCACGCTGGATTTAGACATGGCAATTAGTGACAAGATCATTACAGACAAATAAGTCAGCAAAATCCAGCGCTCCTCCACACTGACATGGCCAGGGTCAGCCACTCTCAAGGCAGATGCACTGTATGAGTGTTGGGCCAAAATACACACACACAAACACACACCATACACACACATTTACTCAAAGCCCGCAAAGCAAGCCCTCCTCTCTCCTCTCTCATTGTTCTCACCCTGACTCCAGTGCTGACCTTTGGCAGACAGACTGCTGGTCTGGTGGACATGCAGAGAGGCAGATCTTGTTTCTGGATCAGGTTAACCTGGATCCTTTGCTCAACACACACGCTAACAGAGGCCGTGTATCAGATACAGATCTGCGGGTCAAGTGCACCACCAGTCACACTGCTGATCTGACGACCAATCTGCTGTCCAGTCCACCCGTCCACTGAACCGTTTAGCCAATCTTAATCTACTGACAATCTGAGCAACCTCAACATCACATTGTCAGACAGGAATTTGCATACTGCGTCATTAAATTACAATACAGTCTTTCGTGTGTATTGTGTGTCCTTTGTGACAACTATGGGTCAGGAAAGCAAAAGGAGATGAATTACAATGCAGTCATGTCAGGAATATTTATCACCAATATCTCAAACAATCTTTAAATGTGTTGTTGTGTCACAAAATAAAATTTTGCCATAGATTATCATTAGTATTATTCCTGAATACTGATTTTTTTAATATATGAAATCATACAAAAATGTTAATATAAATGTATTAATTCACCCAGGATGGCCAAAAGAAAGTAAATCCATCCAATCTTGTAGATAAAGTAATCATTAATGAGGTGATAAATTCAGAAAAGCTCCAGTGGTTATCTGTCATACGTCAGTGTCCCATCGTGAGTGTTGCCAATGGTTTTTCCAGAGCCAGATCTAGCACATTTGGTATCTGAGGCAAGCCCGAACCACCCCTCACCCCCTGCCCAAAACAAATATTATTATCTGTTTTATTAATCCTATTTATTACAAATAGGGATGCATGCTAATACCAGCACGTCATCGGTATCTACCTACAGAAGAGACTTGATGATCGCTAAAATTAGGTAGGGAAAAAATTGGATAAATCGATATTGGTATCAGTCATCGGTCAAATTAGTTGTAATATATCAGCATATTGGATATCGGCAAAAAATCCAGTATCATGCATTTCTAGTTACAATCCAGAACAAGAGCTATTGAGAAATCAACACAAGTAAATCTTAAGGACAGTTTTTTTGCAGGGGGGATGGGTGGGGCATCTATACGAAGATCCGCCACTGGGTATTAATGAGTTTCTGTAAATGTCACTTAACACTTGAGTTCACCGTCGTGTTTGAACTCATAAAGAAGTAAGTAAAATCATAAAGGTAAAACAATTCTGCCTCAAGACATCGTGATGTGAAACATATTTGGTCACTAAAATAATTCACTGTTATCCATCCTCTAAATCACGTTATTCCAAAAATCTTTACATTCTGGTGCTGTACTTCATGAGCTTAAAGTCGCACAGGTTAAACTGGTCCATTTACTGATGCATATGCATTCAAACTCATGTCAAACAGCCCTAAAAATCAGAACAGCTGTATTGATTATCTGCTGATCTGTTCAGGCTTAATGGATATAGCATTTATGATCATGCTAAGAACTCCCTGTTATCTGTTGTAACACAGAGCATACGTCGATTGATGGTTACATATCTGGAAAAATGTGAATATTTCTCACACTTTTTAATTTAATTTGTCTGATACTTTATTTCAGTCCACTAATGCAAGTTTATGTATGTTATGTTGTTTATGTACAGCCTCTTGGATTACGTAATAAAAGCAACACTGATAAAATTTGGAGTGAAGAGGACTAATAAAGTATAAACGACTTTGCTAAGGGAAATTCACATACAGGCATTATTGTCTTTTAGCTTCCATGAACAGGCCAACAGACATCTAGGCCCGGCTGGTATCTATTTACCACACGAGCAAAAGAAAAACAATGGCTAGATTCAGACAGAAGATGCAGCATGTGGTAGGAGACAAATGTTGTCACAGTATGGAATAATCGTCACTTATGAGCTGGCTTCACACTAGTCCTGGATGAAAAGAAGGGAGGGAGCGGAACACAGTTTGCACCGCGAGACAAACACTGGCACACTTTTTAAAACCCTCATCATGGACAAAAGTGGTGCTGGTGCGTTATAGGGTGTCATAACCCCAGACAGGACGGGCAGAGAGGTGGAGACGTGAGACCTCAGAGGCAGAGCTCTGGCACCAGGCCTCCTGCTAATTGGTCAGGTCAGATATCTCACGGTCGGCTGGGCGTTGTCCCATTGCTCGACACTGGGGCTGCTGTGAGCAGAGCTTTCCAGATGCCGCGGCACATAACGCCAGGGCTCATGGAGCGCACTGTACCCCAAAATAAGTTCACGCCATCCTCACTGCTCTCTTGTCGGGATGCACCAGACCTTCTGACATATGGCTCTACTCTCCTAATTATCTCTCAGTTCTGCTCTTTTTCTCTGCGCTTCAGCCAAGTGCTATGATCTGCACTGATCACGCCAAGCACTTTGAACTGTGTGCTTTTACAAGAATCCACTCTGATTTGTATTTATTTGTCAAAATGCCAGTTAAAATGTTAACTTTCATGCTTGGTTATTGTAGAAATGGCATGTTTTAAAGGATTATTCTGCTCACACAGGCCTCCAACACTACTGCAGTGTGATTTAGTTGACTGGGAACATGATGGTGGGGAGCGTTTTGGACCAGTATGTGTAACATTTCTTGTTTCCCAGCCTGCTTGGCAGAACAACCGTCACTAAATTGTTCAGAAATAATGTGAGCTGCTGCCTGTTAGGGTGAGCAGTTTTTGTCTTGGCTCTCTTTTAGGTGTTTTGGAGGAAGAATGAGGGGATGAGGCCGTGGCAGTGGGTGGGTAGGAGGGAGTCGGAGCGATGGGTGATGATGGTGGGAGTTTTTAGGGGGGGACCGCCTCATCGACGAGACCATATGTTGTCCCCAGCTTGCAGTTGCCACGCCAATGGGCCTCGAAATTTTAACACATTTTGACAATGTGTCAGTTGAGCTCTACCCCTGGTTGTGTGCTGCGCGTGTGCGTGCTGTATGTGTGTGTGAAGGTGTGACCGTGTTGTTTTGTGTGTGTGTGTGTCTGTCTGTCTCTTTGTGTGTGTGTGTGTGTGGATGTACACTATGCAATAGTGTTCTCACATTCCAGCTCCCTCGCCACCCCTTCCTCCTACAGTCACCTTGTTCTCTTAGTGCATTGTGCCAAGTTCCCTGAAAGGCAGCTTACACCATATACGCACATGTACAACTACACGTGCACAAAAAACACACACGTAACACAATGCTTTATCTATAAGCAACACAATGTACCCATGTGTATAGTTTGTGAAACTAGGCAAGAAAATATGGAATACTATAAAGAAAAATCACTTTTTTCCTCACTTTCTTTCTCATTCTTAGTCCCTCATTCTTACACACACACACACACACACACACACACACGTTCTTAGTCAAGGTCAGATCTGGACAAGGGTTCCGTTGTCAAAATTGCCTTAATAACGCAGAGCAATTTTTGGACCGCGGGCCATAAAATAAAATAAAATGGATAAAATCAAATAAAATAAACGCCCTAAAAGACACTTTAAAGTACAATAGAGCTGCAAAAAACAACATTATGTGTTTTTCCTATAACTATAACTATAATGTTGGCAGTGTATTAATTAATTTATTAATTTTAACAGAAATTTTCTTACAAAGTATAATGAAAATTTAAAAAAAAAGTATATATACATATTTTTTTTCTCATTAAATTTAATTGTCTTTTTGCACAGACTTTAAATCAGTGAAAAATATGACAGTCACCTGACATTGGTAGCCCATAAAATCCATATTTTTTCCATTTTTAATTCATTTTATTTGTTAAATTAAATTGTATTTCTTAATGCAAAACATCAACTGGCATTACAATATAAAATCAGATGTGTTTAACCTGCCCTCTTTGCAGCTGCAGATGAGCCTCTCAGAGAGAGTGGAAAACTAACATGCATGCGTCAGTGTTTTATGATTTCAGCTGTAACATCAGGACAAACTCACAATAATGAAGAGCTGGATCTCAGCACTTACTCTGCATAGTCCCGCTTGCAGTAAAGTTTGCGGTCCCGCAGAAAGCAGGAGTTCCTGAGCGCGTCCCCGCACGCCGCGCACCGCACACACTCCTCATGCCAGAGGCCGTCAGTGACTCTGAGCAGGAATCTGTCTCTGATCAGCCGGTGGCATCCGGCACACACTGCCCTCTGATCCATATCTGCAATGATGGGGAAATCCTTTAATTAGGACACTTTTCCAATCAGCAGGACGGGGCTGGAATACTGGCTATAATTTGGCTGGAGCACAGTTTGATGGAGGGTTTGATTAAAAATGCGACTTTAACTCGTTATAATGGGATTAAAAAGTGCTTAAACAGGGTCTTTATTTGTTTAAAAAATGGGTATTACAGAGTTAGACCTCATTATTTTTTAATTGTTGTTTAAACTGAGGAAATATTAAGTTAATTTGATGACCATGCGCCAAAAATAGTGCTGAAAATTAAACATCTCAGGTCAAATTAAAAATGTGTCTAAATATTACTAACTTAAGCTTCACTGATATAATCATGTCATTAAGTTTTACCCACTTAAATATAAAGCCAGTTGATCCACCATTGCAGCCCCCTGACGACACATTAAAATAAGTTTTCACTTATTTTGAATATTTGGAGGAAACTGACTATTGGAAACTAACATTTTAAATACACTTATGAAAGTTTGAGGAGTTCATACCTGCAAAGCGCGAGATTGGAGGCGGTAGAAAAGTGTTTTGGTCCTCAACTCTTCAGCTCTTCCTCTCAGAGCATCTCCGGCGCTCAGAGTCCCGCTGCTGCAACTTGCTGCTCCGAGCAGCAGCGCATCAAAGTTTCTCCACAGAGCTTCCGACGACCTCTCTGAGTCCACCGGTATTGACTATTTAGGCTTTCTATCAATTATCCTATTAGGAGTGAACGGGAAGGAGAGGGAGAGAGAGAGAGAGAGAGAGAGACAGACAGACAGAGACTTCCTCCATGTGCAGGTGCCGGTACCTCTCCCTCCCCCCTCCTTCTGTCCCTCTGTCTCACTCCCTCCCCACACTGGATGCCACAAAGTTCCAAGAGACGCACATGAAGCGATTGTTTTGTTTTGCATTAAGAAGCTCTAATGCATAAAGTGCTCAGGAAGTTAAGTGTGCAGGTTAAAGGTCAGACTTTTAAAGGGATTTCAAGATAGATAGATAGATGCTTTACAAACTTTATTCCAGATATAGTAAACAAAAATAAATGGAAAATAGTAGAAAAAAATAGTAATAAAAGACAATATTGATACTTGAGAATTAAAAAAAAAATAAATTTCTGACATTATATACCTAAGAAAAAAGGACTTCTATCAATTTAAGCATTAAAAAATCAATAAAAAAAATCATGAAATTCCTGAAAATAAAAATCAAATATTGTCGTAATTTTGCTTTTTCAGTTTTTTTTAATCTATTTTTTAGTGTCTGAATCTCAGATGTTGATGTCCCAATTACTTATCAGACAACATATACACTGATGATAATACTGAGAATAAGCCAGTGTATCAGCCTGCGCAATTTATAGGTCTGGCTCCACCGGTGGCGTAAGGAAGTTACGATGGGCCCCACGGCACACTATGATGAAGGGCCCTCATGTAAGCTATCATGCATGTATTGTCTTGACACAAATAGAGAATTGACACTGGATAACATCAACATACACATTACCCAGCAATCATCATTGCATATCTGACAAAATATCAAAGAAAGTAAGAAATAAATCACTTTATTGTATAGTTTTTAGTATATTTATAGATGTTATAGCTTATATAGCAAAAGCATATAATTTTGTTTTAGCTACTGGTTATTTTAAAGAATAATAATAATAATAATAATAATAATAATAATAATAAAGGGCTTGCTATATTTCCAAGGTGGCAATCTGAGTCACTTGCAAAGGCCTGTTCTCTCTACGGGCCCCTCCACCCCAGGGGCCCTGGTGCAATCGCACCACCTGCACTGTCTATATCTACGCCCCTGAACTCCACATTGTTCCACATTTTGTTGCTTTGTTCATTTTTAAATTTACATTCAAATTTATACAATTATGTAATATCACCATCTCAAGTCTATGTGATGAGGAGTAAAGGTGTTTCTGGTGTTGAGGCCTGCAGAGGCCCTCATGTTAAGTCCTGTTAGTCTGTCAGACTGGAACCATGTATTCAGGAATATCAAACATGCTATGAAGCAGCGTCTGTGTGAGGTGTTTACACTGTGTGGACGCCATCTGGTGGCCAACTGCGGGAAATACAAAGAAGGGACAACGGTTGTTACACTAGACCACCATCATCTTTGTCCTCATAATTATCATCATCTCAGCCCAGTAAATGATTTTGAGCACACCGGTAAAATGTACATTCTACCACCAAATTATATAAATATTTTACTCTGTAAATATTTGGGATTTATTAATGTTTTAATAATGTATTAAACATTTTCTCAATCTATAGGCCTATTCTCCGGCCTGAAAGCTCCAGTGTGAAGGATTTGGGGGCATATCTGCAGAAATATATTATATTCCTTGCTATGTTTTTCATTCATATCATATAGTCATTTATATATATCATTTATAATCGCCTGATAATAAAAATTGTTGTGTCACTACCTTAGAATGAGCTGTTTATACAGTATGAGTTTTGCACCACTAGATGCCAGTAAATCCTGCACACGAGGAGCTAAACCCTTAAAAAAATTCCCTTGTGTTGCTTTAGTGTCACTTAACAAAGATGCAGTTTTACATTATCAAGAGAGAAGTAAAATGAATTTGGATTCAAAAACCCAAATCCCTCTCACTCTAACTGTGAGGCAAGTTTTTAATATATGACACAGTAATAAAAAAAAGACAAGAGAAACAACACATTTCAGGTAAAATTTTTAAATAACTTTATTCTGTAAGAATTCTCAAATGTGTTTTAAGAAATGCGTGGATGGTTTCTGTTTTTATACAATTCCTCTTTGAATAAAATATGATTCTTTTTTCAAATTGCATTGGGTTGCTTTCAAACGAACACCTGAAATTATCTATTTACAAAATAAATCTGTTAACAATTCTATTAGAATTCATTTTGACAGTGTACTTGATCCTCTGTCTCAAGACTCCACCCTCCCCGCAACCTCAAAATACTTTTTCAATTTTAATTACAATGTTTCGCTTGGTACAAAATAAGCTGTTTTACAATTTGAATCAAGTCTTTTTAAATTCTGTCTTCATATCCTGACAATGTGGGAGTATATACAGGGGGAAGGGAGGGGGACTGGTGTCATGTGATCTGATGTGGCGCCTCCAGCATCTCCATCAGGAAGGTGTCGATAGGTGTGTCCCCGATCAGCTTGAAGAAGAACAGATGCTCCAGACACTTGAGGCCGATGGAGCGCAGGGCGGGCAGGCGGAGCAGCAGCTTGGCAAACCTGCAGAAAGGGATGGAGGGAAGAGGAAAGGGCCAATTATTGAGACACAAACTGGTGTAATCATCATTTTCTATTATGTAGAAAATCATTATCATGTTTAGTAAATCTATTTAATAAAATGCTAAAATTTTGTTCTCAAAACACTTATGTTATCTTATATTTCAACTTTATTAGACTACATACTCAAAGTTTTTTGATTGCACTATATTTCATTTGGAAATATTACACCACCACATTTATGATACAGCTGTACATTATATTTTTTTATGTATATACATAAGAAAATCTATAAATTATGTATACTAATGTATATAGTACCACCTACGCTTAAAAATCCTACATACATTTGAACTCATCTGTAGTTTATACATGACAACTTTTACTTATGATGTTTAAATACTATTTACCACTGCTAATACGTCCTATTTTAAGTGAAATTCTGAATCCAATAATTCATTTTTTAATGCAGCATTTGTTTGGTTACACTACGATACATACATTTTCTATTCTATTCTATCTACGCTCTGAATTTTTCTTTTACATATCTGCATGGTCAGTAAATAAAATATATGAATACACCTGTTTTCACTGGAAAACACCCTGGACAATCTTACAATAACTGGCTGTAACTTGCTAAGGGAAGGTTAGGTGTAGACCAAAATTTATTTGGAAGTCAAAAACATCTAACTACTATTTTGTAAATATAAAAAACAAAACTTTATGAGGTTCTGTTTGTGTTCACAGTAAAAAAACAAAAAAATACCAAATTTTTACAGCCGTTTTTTAAATATGCTGTCAAATTTATCCATTATCAGACAAAGCAAATGTGAAATTGTATCTTTCAATGAGTTAGACTGAAATTTCAGGTTCTTCTGAATAAAATGATGTATGGCACTTGATGCTGACTGCTAGAATGAGCAAGGAAATAATAAATACAGGAGAGTCAGGTGACAAAATGGCTCTAGGTTTTTAAGGGTTAATTTGAGTGATATTTAATTTATTTGATCTTTTTTAGTGCTGTTGGTTACAATTGAAAGTGTCCACAGCTGAAGCAAATTAACAATGTATCTTTTGTATTTCACATCATCTGTTGATGTTATTTAACAGTAAATTAAAATAATCAATTGCAACCATTTTCTATGAGCGAGTACATTATCGGCCTCTGTGCTTTTAAATCTAATGCTGCAGCAAGCCAAAGTGTTTAAGGCATATAGGAGCAATGCAGTAATGTAAAGCAATCTTCACTGGTAGCTACAAGCCAAAGCAGCAGTTAAACAGTGGTGTTCGATATTGACTGATGCTGTACTATAATGCAATTCCTACCTGCCAGGCTGGTCTGGGTATTTTTGTTTCGTGTACGACTCCAATGAGGCGTAAACTTTTTCCCTCAGCCCCTCAACCTCTGGTGGGTTTGAAAGACCTTTTGCATCTGAAACAAACAGTCAGGCCACACGTTACACTAATGAAACGTTGAATCCACAATACCGCAAAGCCTTAATATCTTTGATGGTAAAAATACATGGGTACATAGTGAAGTCCCTCCAGATGCAGTATTCTGTACTGTAAAGTACACACACACATGAACCTTTCCACAATCTACCTCACTTAGCAGACATTGAGAGCAAATCAAAATGCGGATAAACCTCTCTTCTTAGGTGTTCTTGCTCTTTAACATATTGTGTTAAAAGGGAAGAGTGGCAGGAGGCCGAGCTGACCTGGGTTGAAGAGGACGATGGCTCGCAGGCAGCCCAGCTCTGTCTTATCCATCTGCATGTCTTTCATTTTGGATACCAACTCTGTCAGGACTCTGCAGGAGATGGAATAATATTAGAGAGGTGGTTAATGAAACAAAAATGGTCACAGTATAAGTCTGTTAAACTTCAGGGACACCAATCTGTCCATTAGAAAGCACAAGTGATTGTGATCAGTTTCAGCTGCTTTGGTGCAAATGAAAGTGACAACAGGTGCAATGGAGAGGCAAAAGCAAGACAACCCCCAGAAAGGAAATGGTTTTACATGTGGTGGCCACAGACAGTTGCTCTCCTTATCCTTCCTGACTGATTCTTCTCTAGCTTTGTGTTCTGCTAGTGTCCTTGTCACTACTGGTAGTATGAGGCAGTACCTGCAGCCCAATCAGGCTGCACAGGTAGTCCAATTTACATAATTCGTTCATCAAGATCTGATGTGTGATTTAAGTGTTCCCTTAATTTTCTTGAGCAGTGTATATGTGTTGCATCCATTTCTTTAATATTTTGCAAGCGTCATTTCACTCAGAGAAGTATTTCACTGCTGGACAAATGTTTTTTTGTTTTTTTTTTATAAAACTGAGCTGTCTTTGCAGTGGAAAGTTGCATGGTGCAAGATGACCGGAGAAAACAGAGAAAAAGGGGCTGTGGCATTCGCTTTTGCTAAGAGGTATGAAACCTACA